CCGCTGATCTTCACTCCCATCCTCCCGTCTCTCTCTCTCTTTTTGACCAACCGCCATCCTCCAAAAAAATGAGGAGGAGGTTCTTTTGGGAGCAAGTGAGCCTGGACTCACATGGCATGAAGGGCAAACACACACAAAGAGAGCGGGTTGGCAGGGGTGGGGAGGGGGGAGAGAGAATTGATTTTCCAGTGCTGCTGGAGAGGCTGTCCAGTGAAGGACTAAGTCTGCCCTCGGGGCTCAGACCGGCTCAGTCCAGCTCTGGATTGGAAAGGCCAACCAGTGACCTTAAGACTTTTACTTATGATGTTTTTTTATCTGGAGATAAGGAGCTGTATTCGATTTTTATTGGGTCGTCTGAGAGTTTATTCAGGAAGAAGCTTTGGCTATATATCAGGAAGGTGTCAAAAAACAGTTTTAGTTGCTTTGTAAGTGTGTATTTTATTTGTGTGTGTGTGTGTGTGTGTGTGTGTGTGTGTGTGTGTGTGTGTGTGTTTGTATTTGTGTGAATCTGAACCCGACCCGGTTTGCCCTTCACGCAAAGCAAAGCGTAGAATCCCCCTCTGGCATTTTTCAGCGAGAGAGATGGAGAAGTAACAGGATGAGAGACGCTCAGAGAAGGAGACATATCACCACACAAATGCACACACACACACACACACACACACACACACACACACAAACACACACATGCAGAGCGAATATACCATTGGCTGGCTGGCGGCCATGACAGATGGGGGAGTTTGGTTCATGGGGGGTTACCATGGAAACCAGCATCAGTGCTACGCTCTGCATAAGCCGAGCTGCGGAGCGAGAGAGAGAGGAGAGAGAGAGAGACGCACACACACACACACACACACACTCTGCAGAGGAGTGTGTGTGGGCAGTATGAGCAATTTGCTCATTGTTTATGACTTATTGTTCTTGCGCAACAAGTCAGTTTGTGTCATCAGGTCCTCGACTCCTTTTCCTAAGTTTAGACTCAAGTGGAAAAGAGATTGGCAGCGTTTATGGGATTTGGACCTTAATTGCAGTTAATGGATTTGTTTAGTGATGACACGGGCGGACATGATGGGAAACTGGGCCAGAGAGAGAAAGTGTGTCACGACGAGATGTTGACAGTGCAGAAAAAAAAAAACGCCCCTCCTCTCTGAGCACCTTTACATTAACATCTCATCTCTCGCTCGCTCTCTCTCTCCCTCTCTCTCTCTCTCGTCAGCAAAAAACAATTATCACTCAGTCATCTTCTCATTCCACATCACATTACATTTTCTCTGTGGCGTTTTCTCCTCTCTCTCTCTCTCTCTCTCTCTCTCTCTCTCTCATTCCCGTCATCGATCCTGTTTAAGAGCAAACGAGGCAAAGCAGGCGTTCACCCAGAAAGCCTCTAACTAGATGTGACAGGCACTAAAAACCAATCCTGTGCAGCTCTGCGGCCGAGCAAACGCCATACTCATCATGACTCCAACAGCTCTGCTGCTCCATCTCTCCTCCGGTATTCATCTTCATTTTCTCAGCCTGTGTGATGAAACATGCACACACATGTACGTACACTCTCTCCTGATATAAATGACCATAATCCTGCACACACACACACACACACTCTTTCTTCCCTCCCACATGCACAGTACAGCGTCATACTCTCCTACATACGTTCTTATAAAACGACCACATTATGGCATAGTCATGACAGCATTTATAAGAAAACTGTAGATTTATTTCATGCTCTTTATAGTTGAGTGTTTGTTACTAGGCTTCTAAAACAGTACTTTATTTTTAATATTCAACACCAATTAGGCTGTCAACCAATCAGGAAAGGGGGGAATTTAAACCACAGTATCTACCTGTTCATGACTATGCTACAATTTAAAGGAAAAGTTTATAATTTTAGGTAATTGATTGGTATTTTCCCCCTTGCTGAGAGTTGGATAAGACGTTTGATACCATTCTCACCTCCATGAAGAAACCATGAAGCTCCATCAAGCAGCAGATCAGCTAAACTTATAGCTTACTTGGCCTTTATGTCTTGTGGGTCTGAGTCAGGGGTGGGCAACTGGCGGCCTCAACCCTCAACGTGGCCCTCAGTTCAATTCTGACATATCAATTAATTGGAAACATGAAGAAAAACATGACAAAATCTGCCATGAAATCATGAAAACCAGAAATATGTCCATAATAATATTGGATCTCTGGTATATGTTGAGTTAAATTTGAGACATAGTTGACTGTAATTGTTTTTGGAAACTACAATTTGGCCCCCTGGCAGTGAGAATTAAATGAATGTGGCCCTTGCTGTGACCAAAGTTGCCCATCCCTGGTCTAAGTGGAGCTGCAGCTGATCACTTGTTAATTTGAATATTCCAGTTAAATCATAAGATAAAGATTCACATTCATACATTCAACGCAAAAGTACGATCTGTCATTTTTGCAGCTGTAGGGAAGTCTCAATCAAACATTTAAAGGTGAGGTGTGATGCAATGTGAAATCATGGAAAATCACCAGATGTTGCTATAATTGACCAGTAGATCTCATGCAAGATCGGCGCCATGTCACACATTTTTCTTCATCTAGGAAATGCATGGAGCGGATAGCCTTTAGCACAGCATGTAAAACTCTAATGCCATAATCTGTGTGCGTCGTGGTCTTGGTCTTTCTCTTTCTCCGTCATCTGTCTTTTGGGGGGGTTTTGAGGTTTTGAGGACAGGTAAAAACAGATACAGGTACGATGTCGCTAATTTAGCGGCACACCAGAAGTCCCTGATGTATTTCTATGTAAAAAAAAAACAAACATCAAAGATCTCAGCGGAGTTTTTGCTAACTTCCTCTCTCACACAATACTTCCTCTCCTATACATTTCCTATCATTTAAGAACCATTCTCTCTAAATACATCAGTCTCAGTCTCAAAACTCTGCTCTATAGGGTCTAATGCTGTGTGTGTGTGTGTGTGTGTGTGTGTGTGTGTGTGTGTGTGTGTGTGTGTGTGTGTGTGTGTGTGTGTGTGTGTGTGTGTGTGTGTGTGTGTGTGTGTGTGTGTGTGTGTGTGTGTGTGTGTGTGTGTGTGTGTGTGTGTGTGTGTGTGTGTGTGTGTGTGTGTGTGTGTGTGTGTAGATGAATGTGATGAATTTGTGAGATTATGATGCTGTGTGAAAGCAAAAATGATTTATGGTCTTAACATCCTCCCATACTTTTACTCTCTCTCCCTCTCCCCTCTCTCTCTCACTCACACACAAAGATACACAAGGGTCACTAATGGATCTGCATATTTTATTCCTGTGCATATTTTATTCCTGTGCATTAAACTATAACTGGATGTAATGTGAAGCCGCTGAAGCAGGCTGCTTATGAGATACACTAATGAGAGTATATGAGAAACTTTGATTGTATCCGTTAATGTTGTTATGTGATGTTTGCTTTAGTGGGTCTGCGTCTGCTTTTTGTCTCACAACAGGTACAGATTGTCTTTTATTTATTGACCTTACACCAGTGACAGAAAGTGTATTTGTGAAAAAATAATAAGTCACTCACTGTGCCTCTCTTGTACTCATGGTGTTGCTGCTTGTGTAATATCATGAGAAAAGCCACTCAGACAGTAGGTGGGTGTCTCTGAAAAAGCTTTTATATTGGCTCCCCTCTTATTTTTCTGACGGAACATTTTCAGTCATTGTTGAAAAAATATGTCTTGTCAGCCAAAGCCATGTCTAATGGTGTTCCTCAGGGCTCTGTACTAGAGCCTCTGTTGATTTCTCTGCATCTGCTCCCCGCTGGGGCGTGAGAACTTTTAAATATGTCTCCTCTCACTGCAACTCTTAAATCCCCCAAATAACTCTAAATGATCTGTTCTACTTCACTGTATACAAGCTTTGATGGCAGACAATTTTCTCAAGCTGAATACTGAAAAAAAACAAGAAGTCTTTTTTTTTTTAATCATCTGCTGTTAACATTGCCCTGCTTAACTGAGGTGTCTCAGCATGTACTGTAAATAGTATGGTTCACTCCTCTTATAAAACATGGCTGAACTCGGTCCTGTTGTGTCCATATCTGAGCTAGAAAAGAGTGTTCAAGGTTTTTTTTTTCCACTTCAGCTAGATTGTTATAACTCTCTTTTCACCTGCCTCAGCAGCACATCCTTGAAGCGCTTACTGTAGAAGGGATGCAAGATGTTATTGCCAAGCTTCTGACAAAATTGTCTAGAAGGTCTTAACCATCCTCACGTCTTTGCACTGGCTTCCCCGTCATATTCAGAATCCGTTGTAAGGCGCTTATGATATGTGTGGAGCGTTGTACAATTTGTCCATGCACGTGCTTGTATTAAAAAGCTGCTGAAGCCGAGCAACACCAGCAGGACTCTGAGGTCCTCTGATCAGGGGCTGCTGGTTGTTTTCTCGTAACTGACGGAGATTTTGCATTTGAGGTTGTAGCTCTTAAACTTTGAAGTGTCGGCAAATGGAGCTGCAAACCGTGGACCGTGATGTCATTTTTAAAAAGCACTTGACAGAATAAAAGCTATCAGAAATGCAGCTAAAAAACAACATATTTTCAGTGATAATACCAAAAAATCTTCCTCAAAGGAAAACTGTTTAACCTTCATGTTGTACACAGTAAACCCACTTATTACATTTCTTAAAAACACATTAAAACATGGCAACAAAACTCAGACTTAGAAGAAAGAAGTCTGTCTCCATACAGTACTCTTTCTTGCAGGGGCGCTGGTAGCCTAGTTATCAGTGCACGCATCCCATGTCAAAGGCTGTAGTCCTCTAAGCAGGCGGTCCAGGTTCAAATCTGACCTGTGGCTCCTTTCCCACGTTATTCTCCGCTTCCCTCTCTCTCTCTCCTCAATTTCTGACTGTATCTCCTGTCTTGTCTCTAAATAAAGGCATAAAGAGCCCAAAATTCAATCTCTAAAAAAGACAGTTTTTTTGTTAAACCGTGCCCTGACAACATCACACTCTCTCTCTGTCTTGTTTTTTTTAATTCTCCCTCTTTTCTTTCCTCTCTGCAGCGAGAAGAGGAAGCTGCAGGTCAACATCTCTAGTCCCATCCAGTGCAGCATGAGCGGCAGGAAGTGCACGGTCATCGTGGAGCCCAAGATCAACCAATCACAGCCAGACTTCACCAAGAGCCGATCTGGTTACATCCTGGCCGTCCCTGGCAACTAAACCAACGGGCCAAAAAGCGGAAGAAAAGAAAAATAGCTGACAGCTGATTTCAAAACCACGCCAGGGTGATGATGAAGATAATGATGATGATGATGATGATGATGATGATGATGATGATGATTCATTTCTGATTCACTTGTGTTTTTGCAGAGCTGCTGATAATGAGATGATTCAGTTTGCAGCTCTTTAGGAGGATTCGGTTAATTGGATCTGTGAAAATTGTAAAGCCATGCCAAATTGTAGATTTCTATGCAATATAACTTTAAACAGAAAGTGTGCAAAAACACTTCCAATTTAATGCTTAACAGATTTTTCTTTTTTTTACACACTACATGATAATGATAATCTACCAAAGTAGCGTTTCTTCTAGTTTAAAATCCAAATTTTTAAGGTGATTTTTTGTGCAATATTTAGATAAAATATCATAAAAATAAAAAAAAGGCTTTGCAGGGCGTATGAATCCCTGCAGCTCCCTGTGCAGGAGCCGGATCTAAAACGATCCCTGAAAATGAAGCAAGATGATATTTATGTGTGACAGAATCGAGGAAAACTCTGTTTTTGTGATTTATGTACTGAGGAATAATTATGTCAATGACCTGAATTGAAGACTTACTTTCCCACACGTTAAATGAAAGGAAATGCAGAGTCCACTTTTATTTCAGTAAATGTTTACAATCACATGTGGAAACAGCGAGGAGGAAAAATGTGATTCAGTGATTCAGCTTGTCTCATTCATTGTTAGTTTGTTAGTCAGAGGATGTGTTGAGCATATCCTGAACATCGCGAGTTATTATAATTTAAATTCTGCTTTTCATAATCTCTACTACAACGTCTGTCCTTTTATATAATAATCTCTAATACTGCTTGTATATTTAAGGTTAGAAAATACTTTATTAAGCATAGAAATACAATGCTATACCTGAATAACAGAAGGCAAATATGAAGACAATACCAAAGTATTTAAGTTCATATTCTCTAGTGTAGCAGCTGAGTGTTTGTGGCCAGTATTGTGTTATCCCACGTGAACTCCAGCCCCTGAACACAACCCCATTTGCCGTCTTTGTGTTGCGTGAATAGGCTAATGACTTGTGGTGGCCCTTAGTCGTTTGGAATATCCACTTGACAAATATCCCCTTCAACACAGAGGGAAAAAAAAAAGAGTGTGTGAGTGCGACTGTAGGCGCGTGTGTGTACTGTGTGTGTGTGTGTGTGTCTGTTAGCTCTCCTGTTCTTGGCTCTGAGACCGAGAGTCTGGCTAATGGCCACAGAGAAGCAGTGCAGACAGACGGCTGTGAAGTCTGTAATCAGGCTGCTGTCCTACTTTACCGCCCTGTTCCATGATGGGAGTGACTTCATGTATGAGCAGAAGATCTTTGGAGGCCTGATGTCCGTCTGATGCTGCTGCTGCTAAACTCCATTCACTGTTCTCCAGCCAATTCACACAAGTCTCATCATCAGCACTTGAACCCCAGGGACCCCCCTGTGTGTGTGCGTGTTACAACGCTGTATGTAAAATCACATTCTGGGATACCAATATCACGTTGTTGTGGATACATTGTGAAAGTCCAAAGGCGTAATGATGGCATGACTTTCTCTACGGCGCAGTTGCAATATTTGTTGTGCTTATATGGTTGATATAATATCTATTTTGTCCACAGATAGAGTAGACTACAAGTCTAAGAGTACAAACATGTGTGTTTTCATTGCTCTAAAACTCTACTCAAAGGTTAGAGTTTCATATTGGCCATGGTTATGAGTTAATATAATTAATTAGCTTATTATTGAATCTGTTCAAAAACAGCCTCACCACAAGTTAGCATTCGAGCTAGCCTCTAACAAGTTAGCCAGCGTGACACATGCTAATGCTACACCATGTGCTCTCCTAGTTTCTTTTCATGTTATCTTCACTGGGCTTTTTTTCTTTCCCTGTCATTTTGTCCAAAGGACTGTCCTTAATTACACAGAGTAATCCTGCTGAAGTAAGAGGAAAACTCCAAACAAGTGCTAAATGGACTTTTTATCGAGCTAACTGCCGATTCGTAAATGTGCTAGCTCAGAGGCTAATGGGATATTAGGTTTGTGCCGTTAACTCAAGCGTGCAGCCATTGGTGTCCCCTTTAACTGACTGGACAAAACAGAAGTTGAAGTCCTTAAAACCATCCTCTCTCTGGACTTTCTTACCCTCCATTTCCCCAAAGGTTAGCACTTTTTAAGGGATTTGCAATAGGTTAAAAGTGTAAATGTTCATGTCAACATGCACCAAAGTCAAACTTGACTTCACCTTCCAAAGCAAAATTTGCAGCCATCCGATTTGAGTCTTTAATTAGGTTATAATGAAATTTGCACATCTGCACTTAATTAAGAACATTTTGTCTGCTGATCAAGATTAAGACTGCATTCATACTAACATTCAAATGTGGCCTGAATCAGACCCCTGTGGGACCTCAGGTCACTTTTGCCAGTGACAACATTGGAATTATTTTCTAAACTTTTGTTTTCCAAGTCAAGAAGCAGTTTCTTTGAATATCAGCTTTAAAGCAGAAATGTTAAAAGTACTAGAAACACTTTGATTCCAGCCATGGTCTTAAAGATAATATGACAAATGTTTGCCAGGGTCTCTTAAGACCAGAAAATAGAAATGGTTTCACTTTGTGCCCACAGAGATTTTCTGTACTGTCTCTGCACAAAGTAAAGATTGGCGACTGTGGGCTGGAGATCGACAGCTCAAGGTCAGGAATCGGAGCTCCCTCTGTGTCTGGCCTAGTTGAAGAGGCAGAGCCACTCTTGTCGACTTTAATTCACCAGGAAGGACAAATCGTTAGCAGTCATTTTAGCCACAGTAGCATTGTGCCTAAGTGTTGTCTGAACAACTCGTTTATCTTAATTAGTTTGCAAGTACTCGTGGAGCAAATGTCTTTCCTGCCTGGCAGAGCGGTGGTGGCTGACCTTGTCCTGTTGCTCGGTTTAAAAAAACACAACTCTCTGATAGAGAAAGGAGTCATTTGGGGAAACTGGTTCATGGATTAAGGAAGTGACATGGATAGCGTTAATAGGCGATTTTCAGAGGAGCTCAAGCGCAGAGGCTGCCTGTGATGAGTGTGTGTGTGTAAGTGTGTGTGTGTCTGCTGCTCTCCATATCCTTCAGCAGTGTAATCTCCCACAGGGCCTCTCCTCCTCTCTGCTCCGCTATTCACCACTCATCATTAGGATGGACTCCGTGTCACTCCTCACTTCAGCGCTTCTCTCTCCGCTTTCTTAATGCTAAAGGGGGTTCGTGAACAAAGCCTCGCTTGGCCTCCTCTTGCTTTTCCCTCTCCTCAACTCCACTCCACCCCTCCCTTACTCCTTACACTTTTTTTTTCCTCACTCTTCTTCTTCTGTCAGATCACTTCGCTCCTCGCCCACTCCGGCTGACTGTACCGTCCTGCAGTGAACGTTTTCCTATTTTTCTTCTTTTTTTTTTCCTTCAGCCGTCCTGTGCCCTTGAGGCGTGGAAATAAAAAGGGAAACAACACCAGCAACAAGAAATATCCAACAAACGAGTACAGAGCAGAAACAAGACGTGTCAAACAATAGGACAAACATGCAGCAGCAACAAAAGAGATATTGGGATCCAAAACCTATCACAGATAACAAGAATGTTATCCTATATATTTTTTATGAATTACAAATCCCAGTAAAAAAATTGAAAATAACAATGTGCCAATGGCTGCTCAGATCTAATGCAACGCTCAAATATTCAGCTGGGGTGTTTTCTGGAGGATTTCTAAACCAGTTAATGTTCCCTCTAACCATCTTTCAGAGTACTCCCCTCAAACGGAAGAACACATCTCATTTCCATGTGTGACTTTTTCTTGCTATTCTGTGAACGTGTGAGTACAGTAAAGACCGAGAGACAGTCGAGCTACAGACCCAGAAACAGCCTGAAAGTAGAGGGGTTTATAGGCATGATCAAATACAGGATCAGAGTGGATTAAGAACAAGAAACTTCACACACGTTTTGGGGAGCTCTGAGACTTATTTGTTGAAAAGGAGTATAATACGTGACCTTTAAACAGTTTTTGAACCACATTGGATACACACAATAAGATCAATTTAAAGGTATTTGGAGGTCTTCTAATGTTGACTACAGAATACCACCACATTAATGATTAGTTTTGTTCAGCAAAGATGACTTTTCCTCTCTATTATTCGCCTAAACGCAGGTTTAATAATCAAATGATCCCTTTACCCCTTCCTAATTACCACTTTTATTAATGGGCGTAAAGAGAATGTCGGTTATAAATGTTAACACAAGAAGATGTGTGCCATTGTGTTCTTCCCTTCACTATTCTATGCAGTTTCATCGTACACTTGGGGTTTTTTCCATACATACAAAAGATTCTCATTATTATGCCCGTCATTGTTAGCCAAAAGGGTAACACGTTCCATTTTCTTCTCCATAATTTATTCCTGTGGCTCAAAGCAAAGTCTGTATGCACACACCTTTCATTCAATAAGTGCCTTATTTTATATTGAGTTTATATTTTGCATATTTGTGATTACATTCCATCGGTATACTGTAATATCTAGATCAAGACTAAAGGGAACGTCATCGCTGTAATACTATTTCTGTGCAAATGTATTCTGTATAAATGCAGATTGTGTATTCCATGATGTTCATAAAGGAAAAAAATGTCATTAATCGTTATATTAATAAATGTATTTGCTTCAATAGCTGATCATCCTTTTCCTAGCTTCTTGACTAGCTGTGCTGTTGTTGCATGTGTTTGTGTATTTAAGCGCGGGCATCACTATGATTATCATTCAAACACCGATGTTAACTCTAAATATTCCCCCGAGGTCGGCCGTTCTCTTTACCGTTCAGTGTGGAAGTAGCTGGCCGTAGCTCAACGTTAATCCATCCTCTAGCAGCTGCTTCACTGAGTGACGTGGTGACGAACTAAACCCCTGCAGTCGGCATGACAACGCCGCTTCCCGCTCCCACTGTGTCAGCCATCAGGAGCTACCTCAGCAGGGGGTTTTAATCCACAGGCTGATGGATGACTATCGGCTAAACAGAGTGGGATGACTTTTTTTCCCCAAAGGGCACTGACTAAGTAAAGTGGGACAGCCTGACCTGCTGGTTAAATAAATTGGAATTAATGGACAGAGAGTGATTTCTGTAGAATGAACTGACCCAAACTAATCTGCCTACATGGGAGGGCTCGCAGTGTATTTGGATATACAACCCTGATTCCCAACAAGTGGAGTAATTTTGTAGATAGAAAACGGTGTATCATCTGCATATAAACACATTCATATATATAAGATTACAGTTCAACAAGGGGAGTAAATCTGTAGATATAAAACGGAGTATCATCTGCATATAAACACATTAATATTTAAAGATTACAGTTCAACAAGGGGAGTAAATTAGTAGATATAAGACGGTGTATCATCTGCATATAAACACATTAATATTTAAAGATTACAGTTCAACAAGGGGAGTAAATCTGTAGATATAAGACGGTGTATAATCTGCATATAAACACATTAATATTTAAAGATTACAGTTCAACAAGGGGAGTAAATTAGTAGATATAAGACGGTGTATCATCTGCATATAAACACAGTCATATATATATATATATATATAAGATTACAGTTCAATATGAAGCTGATCTTTTGAATATTTATTGCTACAATGTACAATAAACTACAGGTGAAGATAAGACTGAATGCACAGGAAAAGCATCATACCAGCCTGAGTCATTTGTTAGCATTGATCACGAATAAGATGAAAAAGTAATCTTTGTATTTGATGGTGTTGATGCTCACCATAATCTCAAACAGGAAGAGAGTTTTCATGTCTTATTCATTTATCTCTCTCTCTTCCTGTCTGAGCTGATTATGGGTGTTTTCTTTGTTAATATAACCAAGCAGATTTAATGTTAATTTGCATCAGTTAATCATCTTTAAATTAGATTCCTTCTAGGCTGCTGTCAGGTGTCATTTCAGTTCCAGCTAAGTAAGGCGGGACCGACTAACCAACAGGCTACTGCGCCCAATTTCTGTGAAATACGTTTCTCTCTCTGTTGTTAGTTTTCATTTCAGTGCAGATTTGATGCAACACCCTTCCACCCTATTAACCTCCAGTGAATCTGACCGAGTGTCCAGGTAGAGCTCTTCAGGTGTCCACTCCTCGTCACCTTCTGAATCCTTTCCCTATCCACCAACACCACAAGTGTCTACACTCCATCGGTGGGTATCCTTTCCTGCTCTCAACCTCCCTACCCCTTCAAATACATGAAGACCCAAAGACTTTGTGGCTTCCTAATCCTTATGATGCGGGAAAATGAATTACAAAATGGTCTTAAACACTCGTCTGCTGACAGCCCTTGTCCTTTTATCCATAAAGCAAAAAGACATCAGCCTTTACTAGCAGCAGTGAAGTCAGCTTAATTAACTTATTACAAGCTCTGCTGACCATGTTGTCCATGCTAGTGCAGTTAAATTCTAAATCTTATAATGCTGATAGTGCTTATATAACAAAGGGAAAAACTGGTTTCAAATTGTTTCAAATTTGGAGAAACAGCCTACAAGTTCAGTGTCATTCCCCAAAGATAAGTGGGCATGTGAGATGGGAATCAAACCACCGAATCATATAAATAATGGCCGACACTTAAACGTAAAGCATGTTAACTTGACAAATCTTCACAATTGAATTTTTCTTCAAGACAAACTTGACACACATTGTGAGTCGAGGGCGTAATCTAGGAGTTAAAAGTGAAATAATAACACTTGCCCCTCCCTCCTTACCATCAACTAGGAGCCCTTAAGAAAGGCTCTTTAAATCCTAGTTACGTGTGAAGTTTCAGGACCAACAGATCAGAATGTGGTTGTTTTGAAAAACCTTTAAATATGGATCTTACTGAGACTTTAGTGTATACAGAGATGGCATCTGTGTTTACAAAGTCCAGATCTAAGCGACACAACTTCCCATCAGTCGACTTGTGAAGGCACAAAAAGACAAATGGCCATCTTGAACGATCAGTGCATTTTTATTTTTCCATCACAGTACAAAAATAAATTAAAGTAAGCAGAAACTAAATGAAAAAGTTTCAATTACACGAGAGCTTTTTTGTCTTTTTTCAAAAAGAACATTTTTATTGAACAGCATGGACACCCCTCCCTCACCACAGCGAAGGGAAAACCAAGTCCTGGTACCAGTGTGATCTGCGTTTGCTCCATGTCCATAAGAAAACTGTCACACATTCCTCTGTACAAATAAAATGCCGTCATTCACACGCTCACACAGACACACATTCACGCACACATGCAGCCCTCCAATGCCCCCCCCTCTTTGAACTTCTTTTCCACTGTTTCGTTTTTTTATCTACAAAGTACGCAACAAGATACAGAAAAAAATGACAGAAATCTTTAACTATCACTTGAGTCTTTTTTTTCATATTTAATAAGCTTTTTGAAAGTCTCAAAACAACTACTCAATGATGCAAAGTGGGGGAAAAATGGCACATTTCAAGTGAGTCGGGGCAGGTGGACGGAGAGAAAAGGATTCTCTTTACCCCCGATGCCCGGCTTTTACCTGCCAGAGCAGACGCCCTTTCAAAGACTGTGCCCCCCACCCCCCTTTGTGTGCCAGTAAAAAGCTAACAAATGAACTTTCCTTTATTGATCTAACTCCAGGATGTGACAATCTGAGCTGCTCATTTCCTCTGACTCACTAACACAGCAGACGAGGAAGCCTTCCACTCTCTTGGAACAACTTAAAAACATGATAGAAGCCTTTCGTTGGCACGCCCGGTCCATTAACACTGCTGAAAAGTCTGCAGAATTTGTCTGTACTGATGATAAGGGAAAACTTTGTTCTAATACATATCTGAATAGAAATACTTAAGTTCCCACAGTGATTGGACGCATTATTAGAGAGAGCAAAAAAGCTGCAGAAAACGAGTCTCCTTGAAGAAGAAAAATAATCACATCTGAATTGTTCTGCATGCTTACTGTTTTGGTTTTAATGGCATCCCTATTCCACACTGCCGCACATCGGTTTAGTCGAGTAGTTTCTTGGAGCGAATATGTGATTATTCCTGATCTGTTGCAGCCCCCCTGCATGAACGAGATGCCGCCTCACATTTGGTTTTACACAGAGGGCGATGTAGATGGATTATCCTCAAGGTAAGCTGTGCTCTTCTGCAGGACGAGTGTCATTGAAAGATTTGTATTCCCTTGGAAAAGATGTGTGTGCTTCCTGTTTGTGATATGTGGGACAGCAGGTTGGATTAGTTCCAGTGTAGCACGATAAAAAGATGTTTATATAGGGGGGGCGTTAGGGTCAGTGTTGGGTTCCTCAAGGTGTCCTTGATGATGTCACTTTGGTGATGATCAGACTAAGAATTGGTTTTGATCTAAGGGCTTTTCAATGACGCATGGATCAATAAATTCCTGCAACATTCATTTGCATAAACCAGATCAATCTTCATTCCCACCAAAGATAAGTGCACCTACACAGCCTCCAAAAAACCTCCTTGTCATGTCCTTCCCTTTGCAAAGTCTCTCCTCTCTCATGTACATTAAATGTGCCTAAATAAATACATAAATGGCAATAAATTAGGTGTCAGTAGTTATTAGAAGATGAAAAACCACCCCATCAACCACCAGCAGGACAAACAGTTCAGTGTTTCTCAGACTTATGGGGTTCTCATCAAAGATATGGCACTGTTTTTTTTTAAACATTTTCTATGCTGAATCATAAGCACAAATCGAAAACATCATTCCAGAGTGGTTGGAACTCAACCTATCGACAAAAGTACAAAAAGAAGTTCCCTGGTTAAACAAATAGCCTATTTTAGCAAGCATAGCTAAAAAAAAAAAAAAAACTAGTGTCACTTTGTTCACAGCATTCTCTAATGTAGATGCAGTTTTTAAATGAAGTAAAAAGAAGAGATAGAATAATTGCTCCTGCCCTACTCCTGGAAAAGAAAAAATTGCATGGCACACGTGCAAAACATTACATTTTCTAAGTAAAAAAAGAACCAAAATGAAAGAAAACTTGTTCCAGAAAAGCAATAAACAAGCCTCCATTGGTGTTAGCCTCTGGGAAGTAAAACATCCATTAACTTTTTTTTTTTTCTAGACGAAAATAAAGTTCTGACCCACAGTACGACCACTCAGTTTGGCCGTACCTCCTCCGGCTGTTGTCCTCTCATCAAAAGTCCCACAATGCAATGCCTCCTTATAGTCCACTTGAATCTTTCCTTGTACAGTAAAAGTCCTGCAAAAACATGGATCCAGCATTAATGGTCGCCGCTGTTCTTTCAGATATGCGTTGCAGCAGAAAACGTCCAGTCGTATCCGTGTTAATGGAGGGGGGACGTTGGTGTCGGCGTTCCAGAGAGAGAGAGCCAGGGTTTGCAGCCGAGGATGCTCGCTCATCCGTGATGCATGAAGAAAAGCCAGTCAGGCGACGGCCCTCGCCCTCCTGCAGTAGGCAGTGCACATCGAATCGTCAAACAGTCAGAAGGTCACCGGTGGGCTGCTGCAGCCTCAGTCCCGTCCACATTCATTGCTGTAGATGTTTGCTCCCTTTTCAAATGTTTTTTTTTTTTTCAGTCTTTTTGTCTGAATGTTTTTGTAAGATTAAATAGATATATATCTGTATGTAAGCAGAGGATCTACCCAAGTCTGGCATTTTTTGTTCATCAGTCAAAAAAAGCTTTCATTCTTAGGTCAAAGATAATCCATCCTGTGCTAGTTTAAAAATAGAATTTGGCCTTAATTGTGACATGTTGTTAAGAGGCAAACAAACGTCGCTTCTCTTTTGAATCTCACCTCCTGTTATTAGGTTAGCAACTGTTTTCAAACACAATGCAAACATTTGCAAAAGATGATGTTATCAGGGAGGCCACTTATCTTAAAACCTGGAACAACTAGCTTTAACTTAGCTCTCCACGTTAGCCTTTAGCTAGCTCAGTCTACTTTCCCAACAGCGTCATTCAGCTGACGTTCTGTCACGTCCTCAGCGTCACATTCAGACGCACAAGATAGGTCTACCTTTACCAGCGTAAAACCTTCTGTAGTGTTCAAACCAACCATATGATAGTTTTGCTAAAATAAGCCGTAATAGGAAGAAAATAACACCTCTGACGTCATTATGTGACGTAAAGGCAGAGGCGCTGCTCGTCAACAGGTAACCCAGGAGACGCCAAAGCAGCGGCCGAAAATGTGCACATTTTGCAACGACGGTAGGAAATCTCCCAAAGGGGGCCCCATCTTACAGCACTCACTCTGGTTGCCCTGTTGAACACTGGGTTGGAGGCCCCCACAATTGTTTGTTTTTTTTGCCTTGGGCCCCAACAAACTGTAGACTCGCCACTGCGTAAAGGGTTAACTTCTGCACCCAAACCGTCCTTATTTGACTTCCTGATAGCCTGTTTTTTTTTTTTATTCTGATTTTCAACGTAGGCTACTGATGTTATTCTCTTCAAATTAAGTACTTTGATGTTTTTATCCATTCTATCCAACATAATATTAACATTTATTACATTTTGAGTTTCCTGTTTTGATGTTGTTCAAGTCAAATTGTTCTAACTTTTCAGTCGAACTTATATTATTAGTGAGGGACTCTCCTTTTAATCATTAAATTCTCTATCCTCCTGTGCATTTATTCCCCCATTCTGAAGCACTTTGAACTCCTTAAGCCTACATGTAAAGTTGATGATCATCAAGTCTAGCTCTCAAGTTGTTATGAATGACAAATTCTTAACTGTCCACATCTTGCTGCAAATATAAAGCATTACAATTATCCTTTCAAACTTGTCAAAATGCCAGACTGGAGTATGATCCCCCTCCTCCCCTGCCCCCTCTCTCCCCTCCCCTCCCCTCCCTCCCCCTCCCCTCCCCCCAGCATCCCCTCACCGGTCCAGACCGATGAGCAGGCGGCTCCTCTCCTCCTCCTTCTGGCTCTCGTTCTTCAGGTCCGCGAACACCTGAGTGAAGTAGTGCGGGTCCGAGTTAATCTGCAGCATCTTGGCGCTCATCAGGTTGATGATGGACAGGCAGCGGTCCCAGAAAGTCTCCTTGGAGCTCTCCACCAGGAAGGGCTTGAGCGGGTAGGAGATCTCGTTGCCCATGTAAGAGTAAGACAGGTAGAGGCAGGTGAGCAGCACGGCCTGCAGCTCGTGCTCCGTGGCCACCTCGGAGGAGACCACGTCGCGGCAAAGCATGTAGACGAAGACCACGTTAGCGGGTGTGATGAAGCCCTGGTCCTGCCAGCCCTGGAGGAGCAGGGAGCGGTCCACGCTGCGCAGCCACAGCACCGGATCAGTCGGTGACAGGTGTTTGAGCCGGTAACAGCGCCGGCACAGGAACTCCCCGAGGCAGCGCAGCAGCTCACTGGTGGAGGCCTGCACGATAACTCTCTTTGGGGTCCCGGGGGCCACGTTGGAGTTGGTGAGAGGGGCCTTTTTCACGGACGACACCGTGTTGTTGGAGTTCTTGGTGAGAGCTGGGGTGCTCTGGTCCTGGGTGAAGGTGGAGAGGTTGGCGCATGACTGCGACTTCTTCAGGTTCTCGTTGTTCAGCTGAGTGACATTATTCTGGTAGTTGGCGTTGGGCTGCACCTTCTTGGAGCCTTTCTTCTTCGCCGACACCGCTACAATCCGTTTCCATGGCAGCACGTTGATGAGCGAGTGGCGCTTCAGGTTCTTGTCTTTGGCGTTCTTGCTGTTCTGGACGGCGGTGTAGTGACCCACCGTGGCGGGTCCATCCTCGAACAGAGCCGCCTTCCTGTAGCTGGGGGACAAAGACAGCACGGTTCCCATGGTGACGGTGAGGGGACGTCCAGGGGCTTCAGCCGCACTGGGTCAGAGGAGCGTCTACCAGAGAGGGTCCTGAGGGGTCTAAGCGCCTCGATGCTTCTGGGAGCTGGGGGGTCCCGGGCTACAGGCTGCAGCTGGGCATCTAAAACCGAGGAGATGGTGTCCTTTGTACGGTCTCTGCTGGATGTCAGAGCTGCGTCTGCTGGAGGCAGAAAAAATCCAAATTAATCAGCGAAGGATCAATTTTACCTTTTCATTATCAAGTACACAACATGTTTTTGATTTTGATATGAAATCCATCATCATCCAGCTTTCATCAGATAACATCACTGTTATCAGTTCTGAACGTGTGCTCATTTGATTGTACCTCAGGCTTATTAGCAGCATTGATCTGACTCGGTAAGTGCTGGAATGGATCAGTCTTTAGCTCCTGCTAATGAATTCAAGCTGCAGATCCTCCAAGCAGCATATACCATCAATCAATGCTAACATTAAGGACATATTAGTGTGATATTGTGCTAAAAATAGATTACATTAATCTGCAGGAGAGTAAAGTGCATAAAGGGAAAAAAAAATCAAATGTGTGATTGTGCATCAGCAATTCAAAGGAACACTGCACCACATTTGATATAAATGGAACCTATATTGTTAATTCATTAATATTTCACATTGAGAGATCCATATTTTATGGGCAATGGCCGACCAATGAACCACGCTCCATCCCTCTCTCAGTAAAATGGAAGGCAGAAACGTAAACACCTTAATAACAGGTGAAGGTCGAGGCAATGCAGATGGGATTGGGCTCATTAAAAAAAACACATTCAAGGTCATACCGGTTACCGTGAATACAAAAATAGATCAGCAAAGAGATATACGTGATCCTTTCTTTGCACGACATGTTTTCGCCCTCACTGCGGTACATCTCTGCATTTAGAGAGACAGGCGATGGCTTGGCTTGCGCAGGATTCAGGCTGCTGGATCCCTTCATTCCTTCACCCCTCTTTATCAGTCTCATTCATCAGTTGTGGGGAAATTCCAAAGCAGCGGCTTTAATGTGACTTAAGGGGAATAAATTAAAGCATGCAGGGGGGGTTTTGGCTGTGAGGAGGAGTTGTGCACATCGGGTGCTCTCCGTGGTGCTGAAACTGAGCGTCTGCGTCGAAATAGAACGATGGGCGTAAACGGCGGTGGCTTAAAACATAGAAAATCATCATCATTACCCTCTGATCTGTTCTTATATAGTCCATTGTTTAATCTGTATCTTCAATTCCGCATACACTTCGATTTATTTTTTCTTGATTTCCCAATTAGATATAGCTGCGTATTTTCTATTTTCAAGTACGAGGATGCACAAATCTCTTATCATATAGAGTCCTGCATTTCAAGCCCACATATGTTGAAAAGTGAAGCAACTCACCAGATCTCCTGCCCAATGAGAATTTAAAATCTAGATGCAACGGTGATGTCCCTCGTCTAGATCCTTGGTTTCCTCACAAAACGCGATAAAAAAAACCATCAAACCATCGCGTAGAATACCAATGCAACAAAGAAGATAATCCAAGTCCGAGTCAAAAATAAACAGAAGCGAGCTGATGATGAGCACGCCTTGAGTCTGCGGTGCGCAGACGATGGCAGGCAGTTTTGGAATGGATGCTGGGATGAAGATGTGCTCCTTGGTCCTCTCGGCCGTGAGATGCGGATGCTGCGAGAGCTCAGGGCTGATGTTGTGTTGTGTCACTGACTGTGTGAGGGGTGGTTGACGCAAAGGCGGTGGTGGGGCGCCGCTCTGTGCTCTGTGCCGGGAAACTACTCCGCCTATAGCCACACATAGCAGGCATGCATGTAAACTGAACCTAGTGAACTCAATGCACAGTTGTCTTCATAACACCACCAATCAGCAGTCATATAAGCACTACGTATGTGTGTAGTATGTCGGCTTTGCAGGATCTATAGGAAGATAAACCTTTCTATTAAGTTTCCTATTTAAACCATGTGAAGGCAAGAGCCACCTCAACAACGTGGCTTTCAGGTTTTTATTTAGTATTGTAATATTTAATGGCAATATCATAACAAATACTAATTTTTTTCAGTTCTCTGGTGGGGGCGTGTCTGTGGTACCCCTCTTTGATTTATGGTAGGCAGATTGCATCATTTATTTCCATTTGGACAGATATTGCTGTTTTATTCTGCATTGAGTATCAGCCAGTCATCAATATAATAGAGATTACTCTTATGGACTGCAGAAACAAGACTATTCCTGCATAAATGATAGGCTATTATTACCAATTTTTCCACCTTATCTTTCCAATTTTTTAAATATTTATACATTTTTATTTCCTTAATTAGAAATATTCAGACTGGCATGTGGTTTAACATTGTAGTTATTGTAGTAAAACACTGCTTCAGCCGTCTTTGTGTTAATGCTTATTTACTTTGTATTTAATATTATATTGTGTTTTTTTTGCTAATATTGTGTGTTTGGACAACCTGCTGCTGTAACGCCACAATTCCCCAGTTTGGGATCAATAAAGTAATTCTATTCTATTCTTATTTAAAGCAGTTATACATTTATTTGACCATTATGTCCATCTTTGTGCTCATAAAATTGATTCCTCCTTTTATTTTAACTTACGTTGTGGATATTCTTTAAAATAAAAATCTTATTGTTTCTCGTTATCAAATTAAATGCGGTAGGAAAAGAAGATTCTGATAATGTTTACGTTTTACAACCTCTTTTCTGATATGACTACGTCTCCCATAGTGCACTGCCACCACCGTGACGTCACATACGCTAAGCAACGTAGCCCCCCCCCTCCCTCCCGCCGCCGCACGTAAAGTTTTTCATTCAAGGCAGCATTTTGAATAAGGAAGATGGCGGCTGCAGCAGTGGTTGAGTTTCAGAGAGCCCAGTCTCTCATTAGCACGGACCGCAACGCCTCTATCGATATCCTCCATTCAATAGGTAGGTGTTCCGGGGACGGCGGTGACTCCTCTCGCCGCTGTTATTCGGCCATAACTCTGTAAAGTAAGCGGAGAGGTTAGCATGCTAAGCTAGTGGCGAGAGCCGGTTTGTGTGCCGTGCTGACTCACTGTACAACTGATGCTATTAGCCTGTTAGCGCCGCTGCTAACCAACTGCACAGGCCTCAGTTTGTATTATGGAGCAGTTCACCGAAATGTTGCGATTTAGTCGGTACGTTTTTGTCTTTTCCTGTTGCGTCATTAACAGTTTCCAACCTTAACCCGTTGTTTAACCCGTGTCACCTTTAGCTCCGCTGTGGCTAACGTCATTAGCTTGTTGTCAGTCTGATCAACACAGAGGGGGAAGGCAGAGTTCTGACAGAGACTCGAACTCACAACCTTCTGTTGTTATGGGTTTTTTTTAAGGGATGTGTTCGACTGAGCGTTGAGCTCGAGTTCACTTGGGTTGTTATTGTTGTGTTATTGTAGACTGTGGTGCTGTAGTGGGCTGTAAACAGTTTATATATGTCCTGTAGGGATGTCCTCAAACTGCCTTGTCACAGTCCACTAGCTGCCGGGATGTTCTGCAACTCTGTTTACTCAAATGTTAATGTTGCTGCGAACAAAACAGAGATTCAAACACGTTCACAACGAAAAAGAAAGGAACAGAACTTGTTTTAATAACGTGTCTGCATAGCTATGGAGATAAATACATTAGAGGCATAGGGCCCTTTTAATGAGATAAGATATACTTTATTCATCCCAGCAGGGAAATGTAGGCAGCATACATACAAACACACAACACATATATAAACACAACACAACACATATATACATACAAACACACAACACATATATACACACAACACAACACATATATACATACAAACACACAACACATACATACACACAACACAACACATATATACATACAAACACACAACACATATATAAACACAACACAACACATATATACATACAAACACACAACACATATATACACACAACACAACACATATATACATACAAACACACAACACATATATACACACAACACAACACATATATACATACAAACACACAACACATATATACATACAAACACACAACACATACATACAAACACACAACACATATATACACACAACACAACACATATATACATACAAACACATATATACATACAAACACATATATACACACAACACACAACACATATATACATACAAACACATATATACATACAAACACATATATACACACAACACAACACATATATACATACAAACACACAACACATATATACATACAAACACATATATACATACAAACACACAACACAACACATATATACATACAAACACACAACACATATATACATACATATCCCACCCATACAGGAAAACATGAGTCCACAATACAGTTTGATATATGATATATGCAGCTCAGGCTCAAGTTTAATGTCTTCTGTCCTTACTTAAAGGGGAGTCGTTATAAAGTGCAATAGCAGTAGGTAAAAAAAAGTATTTTTAAATCTTCTAATTCTAGATAGAATAGAATTATTTTATTGATCCCAAACTGGGAAGTTGTGGCGTTACAGCAGCATGTTATCCAAACACACAATGAGTAAAAAACACAATATTAGCAAATCTAAACACAATATAATATTAAATACAAAGTAAATAAGCACTAAAAATAGCAAAACTAAGAATGTGAATATATACAACCAGGATTTAATTTAGCATTACTAGTCTCAAATAGGAGGATTAAATATGGAAGATTAAATGTAAATGCAAAAACAGAGTCGTAAATGGACAGTATTGACATAAGATAACGTGCATAAGCTGGTTTATTTGTCAAAACATGCAGATACACCAAACTAATTAAAGAAACTGGTCTTTAATTTGTATTTCGCACAAAGATGCTTAATCAAGAGAAGACACAATGACTGATTCTTGCACAAGTTAACAGCATTGAGCATGGTACTATTTACACATCACTTTGCCGTCATAAAGAAAAGTAATTACACTAAATCAAAGTGAAAACCAAGAAGCAGCAGTAGCTCAGTCTGTAGGGACATGGGTTAGGAACCGGAGGGTCGCTGGTTCAAGTCCCAGTGCGGACCAAATATGGAGTTGGTCTGGTAGCTGGAGAGATGTGAGATCACTTCCAGAGCACTGCCAAGGTGCCCTTGAGCAAGGCACCAAACCCCCTACCCACCACCAGCTCAGGAGCGCCTGCCGGGGGTCGCTCCGTCACTCTGACATTTTTTTGCACAAACAGGATCCATAGGATCCTGTTTGTGCATGTGTGTATACTTCAGCCTATGTGTGTGTTGCATGACTTACAGAGTGTAAAAACAGAATAAAGTAAATCTTAAGGTGGATGGGCAGAGACGATGACTAGTGTGTGCATTGATTTTTTTTTACATTAAGTTAGAGAGACGTTTTATTTGTACAAGAAGTGGATTCAAAAAAGAAGCAATGCGGACATCACAATTCCTTTCCTTTTAGTGGATGCCTTTGTTTTGTGAATAACAACTTTTGATGCATCAATATATTTGGGCATTTCACTCTTTGTCAGACATGTTAAGATATTATTAATAATCACATTGAGCCTTGGAGTTTTGCAAACAGTATTTTTTTCTTTTTTAAGTTCTTAGTTGAACAATAGATTAATCTAACCAGTAGTTGCATCATTAGTTTTGAGAAAGGTGTACGAACCCAGTTTTGAATTATATTGAGATAATGTGAAGGAAACAGATAATCTGAAATCAAGAATCATTAGATAATAAGTCAGATTGTGGTTTTGGATGCTTATATGTCCAAGCTTGTTTAATTACATTTTGACATTGTCACTCTTATGTTAATCGTTTTGTATTTTTATGTGTTAACTTCTTGTTGGTCTTTCTGAAACAGTGCGGAGAGATGTCCAAGAGAACGATGAGGAGGCTGTCAGGGTTAAAGAACAGAGCATCCTGGAGCTGGGGACACTCCTGGCCAAAACCGGTCAGGCCGCAGGTAATGATTGTACCTTTTAGCTTGTCCCATGATTAACCTTATGGTTCTAGTCATTTTGCTTTATGACTCCTCTTTGAAATATTTGTTTTCATGCTCTCTATTGTTGCTGTCTCCAGAACTCGGGGGTCTGCTGAAATTTGTCCGACCTTTCCTGATTTCCATCAGCAAGGCCAAGGCGGCCCGACTTGTTCGCTCTTTACTGGACCTCTTTCTTGATATGGAGGCAGCAACAGGGCAGGAGGTCGAGCTGTGTCTTGAGTGCATTGAGTGGGCCAAGACCGAAAAGAGAACCTTTCTCCGACAGGCTCTAGAGGTAAGATAAAATAAATACAAGACTGCTATTAAATTGTATTTTTGTGAACTCATCCAAAAAAACTGGTTTTCTGAAAAGCATTGCAACAAAATCACGTCTGTGTAGGTTCTCAGTCATCCTGGTCAAGGTACATTTTGAAGCTTGATTCAAAGGCAGTTGGACTTGGAAGGCCTTTCGCAAGAGAGGGGCAACATCTTCAAGATTTTAAACCAAGTCCAGTCGTCTTTGGATCAAGCTTCCAATTCAACATAATCATGCTTCACCACTAGAAGCCTGCATTAGGGGACGTTTTTTCTTTCCACCACCGCAACTCTGTCATATGAAAAAAGGTCATGAATACTGCAATATAAACCTGGATATTGTTCTAATATAAAGGCTTGAAATAAAATATAAACCCATCCAATTTGTATCATGAGCACCAAGACAAGGGCTGCAAGTGATGACTTTAAGGACACTGAGTTTGCAAAGGTTATTTAGGTTATCAAAGGCCTTTGTGACCGCTTACATACGATACAGTTTAAGCCAGTTAAATATGTGTTCCTTTTTTTACCCCTGGTTAGAGCAGACATATATAACTATTTATGATTAATGATAGCAAAATAAAAGTGAAATCCCCAAACAGAAGCTTCAGCTTGTATGGAAGAAGATCATATTTTAACACCTTCTGGCTGATGGAGTGGGAGACGCTGCGATTTCAGGCAGATTGTGGAGGAGCATTAGGTTGTCAGCGATAAGATCCATAACAACACCACTGTGCAGCAGTACTTTGTGATACAAACCAATCGAAAACAGGACGCTTGATAACCATGATTAAGCAAATTTGTCAAGTTTGCCAGCGTAGAATGACAGGCGGAGACGCTAATTCATCTTAACGTATCATGCCATGCTATGATGACATCATCCTGCTACTGCAGCCAAAATGGGCTTTGTGGCCAAATAACTCCCAGCAGGTTCAAACTTACAGCCAGGAATATCTGCAGGTTTTGGCTGAACTACAAAATACAGGATCAGCAAGATTTTGTGTTAGGAAAAATAAGAAAACAATAAAATGGCTGGTAGGAAGCTGAGATGCCGATGCACTTGCAACAGGCTGCGGTTTGCTTCAGGCCTCTCATTATGAACTATGTGAGAGGAGTAAAACAAAGGATAGAGGGCTTTGTTTATATCTCTATGTGTTTATAATCAACTCAGGCTGAGGAACACAGGAGTGCTTATGTACAGAGACGTTTTTATTATTATCTTGAGTTTCCAAAATAGGACGATGTTTAGAATAAAAACAAACTCATTCTTATTTGATTAATTTTTTTTAAATGTTTATTTTGGGGTTTTTGAAGCCTTTAATTTCAAGATAGGAAAGTGGATAGAGTCAGAAATCTGAGACAGTGAGTGGGGAATGAGATGCAGGAAAGGAGCCACAGGTCTGATTCAAACGTAGGCCGCTTGCTTGGAGGTTTTGAGCCTCCGTACATAGGGCGCGCACTAACCACCAGGCTACTGGCGCCCCCTCATTTCATTCATTTTGATAGAACATCTAGCACCTACTGTATACTCATAATCTGACTTTATTCTGGAGATTTCACATTTATTCAATCGGGAAAAAGTTTTCATTGATCCAAAATAATGGTGCCAGTACTGTTCATAACTGAGGTATAAACTTTGATGTTGTTTTGATAGCTTGTATAGTTAGTACTAGCTTTGTTACCACAATGACATAAGATTTATGTTTATAATATATTATATAATATATTTTATATTTAATTTTGACATTACCACCTTCCTCTAAAAATGCAAAACCTTCCTGCCTTTTCATACCTATGCCTTGATACTCCTGTGGTTTGGAGGAGCTGAAACATGCCACCACATTTAATTATGCAAAGATGTGTGTTTGTCAGCCCCCTGAAGATATAAATCAAACATTTCCACTCAAACTTTGACAAAACACATGTTAGCTAACAGCTGAACAAAGTAATGTAGCTTCAGGATGCTGTGTTTAAAGCAAAACGATTATGACTCAAATGTGTGGTGATGCTTCATCTTTGAGAACAGCTGGTTCATCTACTCTTTCTTGAAATTTCTGTTACAAACATGTCTAGGAAATGTACAAAATGTCAAATGTAGCATGTTCTCCCACAAAGTGTGCGAGTAGCATTTCAAGATGCTTTTTACCCACAAACTGCTTCACAACAACTGACATTTTAAAACACTACGACTTACTTACTTAAAGGTTTTTACTCCATCAGATGTCACTCAAGGACATACAGCAGGTACATACTGTCTGTACCTGAATCCAGTTTAATCCCATTTAAGGACTCTTCTTTTCACATAAATATCTTTGGAGTCCAAAATGTCCCTGAAACTTTGCATGATTAAAACAAAGCACCAAAAGAAGCTGATACAAGACATCTCTCTCTCTCTCTCTCTCTCTCTCTCTCCCTTGCTCTCTCTTTCTCTCTCAGTATTTTGTTGCCAATAATTAAATGCAAGACCAATGATATAATGTGACTTATCCAGTCTTGATTTTTTTACTGAATCTTTTCAGAAAGTCTGGGTATAAATTAAAAAATGATTCATTGTAACACCAGCAAAATGTTTGGTACTTGTACTTTCTAGGCCTTAGAAATATTGGCAATGATACATTTATTAGAAAATGAAAGAATTGGTCAAGCAACTGTGCAAAAAGCCTGAAACAGAGAGCCATGGCTGTTCTTTCTAACACTGAACCGTTCAAAGTAAAGGTGGCTGATGTGTTTTCACTCCTGTAATCCTGACAGTTTAATGTCTTCCTGGTCCATGAAACATGTTTCAGCATTTGTACACAGCAACAGATTGGCACAGCACAGCTGCTCTCTGGTTCTCTACTAACACTTTCTTTTCTTTCAGGCACGACTGATCTCACTCTATTTTGACACCAAACGATACCAGGAGGCGTTGGCACTTGGTGAGTGTTTGGTCGATTGCAGCATCTATCTTCTTCTTCAGTGACTTCACAAAAAAAGAGCAGACATTGCTTTTGGCTCTGACTTGTTCAACAGACATGCAGCCCATAAAGAGGGTTTCTAGTCTTCTAAGATGCACTAAAACTTTCAAAATATCAGTTTTATTGTTGCAATCTTATGCCCCTGTGGTGTGACAAGTATTGAAGTTTGCATTTTTATTAAAAACTCTCTGTATTTATTAAGCAGTCAGACTTGTTTGTCCCTAAAAATGAAGTAATGTAAATCCCCCGTAACTGTTTTCTTGGTGTTGTACAAAGTTCTTGCAAAAGTTACTTAAACGCTCAATCATTTTCTGCTCCCCCGTCAGGCACCCAGTTGCTCCAGGAGCTAAAAAAGATGGATGACAAAGCTCTTCTTGTGGAGGTTCAGCTGCTTGAAAGTAAGACCTACCACGCTCTCAGCAACCTGCCCAAGGCCCGCGCAGCCCTCACCTCCGCCAGGACCACCGCCAACGGCATCTACTGTCCTCCGAAGCTCCAGGCAGCTCTGGACATGCAGTCAGGTGAGGCGTGTTTGCTTTTCTCAACTTCACAAGCAAAGCTGAAGTGGCCCAGATTTTGTCTGCAAGGAGGCAATAACTGGAAGTTGCAAAAGACCTGCTTAAATATAGAGGGTTCTAATCAACGGACAGGTGCAACGTATATCAGTCACATCAGGATTATTTAATAAAGCCAACCAGAACCAATATTCTGCTTTTTGTTTGAAGAAAAATGTGATAATCCTTGTTTTTATGACAAGACAATCTTTGATGTCACCACTGGGGGGCGCAAGGCAGTCTGAAAAATGTGTGCCCAACTGAAATCCCAAGCAGTTTCTTAATATTTATTTAGATAACAAAGGTGCTTTTTCTTGTGTTTTTTTGTGTGTGAATTAATTAATGATAACTGTATCATGGTTGTCACATGATCCACTGCTGAAGCTTCAGGAAGTATTACCACAACACTTAAAGTTTAGATCTGACTCTATCCACTGTCCTATCTCTGAAATGACGACATAAAAAGCACCCAAATAATCACAAAATAAGTAGGCTTGTCCCTTTATGGCTGTTACAGTGTGTTGTCATACACTGTTTATACACCATTAACATAAATTTCCCACTGCCCCCGGGATTCTTTTCTACAATTATACACTTAAAGTATTTTTACCAGACAGCAGTAGTTATAAAACACTGAAGTTTGAATTTTTTTTGTTAAAGTCCCTTATCAATGTAAAAAAATATATAACTTAAAACTGACAGTGTCTCTCTCAACTGTGTTTTGAACATATATTTGGTCTTCTTTTGAGTGCCTTAGCTTTTATTTTTGTACTGATAACCATCACAAAGTTGCACAGTTGGTTCTAAACAAGTTGGACGTCTCGATAGTATCATGGTTTGTTTATGACATTAAAACTCACAGTGAACTTGAAACAGAGAGCCATCTTCTGCTTCTTAAATTAATAAAATTGTGACATGGACTCAACACATTGTTATAACATTTCCCAAACATTAGCTGCTGCAGAGTCCATCTTGAGCATAGCAAGCTCCTCCAGTTTTTGTTGATATTTCACATTTCCAGGTGACTGACTGAGCGGTTTGTTTTGACTGTAGATGGTTTATCTATCATGCTGTGCTTTTCAGGGATCATCCACGCAGCAGAGGAGAAGGACTGGAAGACGGCTTACTCCTACTTCTTTGAGGCGTTTGAGGGCTACGATTCCATCGACCACCCCAGAGCCATCACAGCACTCAAATACATGCTTCTGTGCAAAATTGTTCTCAACCTGTGAGTGCTGCTTAAAACTCTTTTTAACTGCTGTCACATTCATACAAGACTGTACCAAGTCCATGCATCCGCATATTAACGTTCATTATTTATTCACTTCTGGTGATTTGTCTGTTTCAGACCCGAGGAGGTTCAAGCTCTGATCAGCGGTAAACTGGCTCTACGACATGCCGGCAGACAGGTACACACCAGATACATTGTTCTCGTGACAGACTGGGGAAACCAGCAACGTTTTAATCGTATCATATGGTTTATTTTTGACTGGATTTTCATCCAGTCATTAAACGTTGGGAGCAGAGAGTGGGGGGATGACATGCAGCAAAGGGCCGGGGTCAGATTCAAACCCACAGCCGCTGTGAAGAGGACTATAGTCTCAGTACATGGGGCGCGCAACACAACCGCTAGTCCATCCTGCGCCCCCTGAGCTGTCTTTCTTTACATACATTTTATTCATTAACATTTTGATTTTACAATACAGAAAGGGACAAAAACAAGAAAACATGAGGACTGTAGTGGCCTCTGTAAATGGGGCGCGCGTCATAACTGCTATGCTATCTGACGCCCCAGATCATGTTGTTTTAACCATTTCATAAAACAGGGAGGGGAAGCGGATTTCCAAGTCTTGAGCATTGTTCAAGAAATAACTTTCTCTGTACTTTCTCACACTGTTTGTTGGACTGAGTTGTTGCATTTCGCTCGTTTCTTAAGAATGACATTTAGATTTTCTTATCTTATCCATTCAGACAGATGCACTGAAATGTGTCGCCCAGGCAAGCAAGAACAGATCATTAGCAGACTTTGAAAAGGTAAGAATCCTTTTTAGTCCAAAAAGGGCAAACTTTACATTTTGAATGTGCTTCCTCACATTTGGCTGTTTTTGAGTTGTTCTAAGTCTTGAGTGTTTCCTCTTCCAGGCCCTAACAGAGTACAGAGCAGAGCTGAGGGACGACCCCATCATCAACACCCACCTGGCCAAGCTGTACGACAGCCTGCTGGAACAAAACCTCATCCGGGTTATTGAACCATTTTCCAGAGTACAGGTAAGGAGGAGCTACAACTATAATGTTTTACTCCATATCTAAATTTAATTTGTAACCTCGTTTTAAATCTTCACATTTGCTGGTTCGTCTGGGCTGTCTTTATTTGCTAAAAACCGATGTTCACTTTACATAGCAACCTCTACCATCAGTGTGTGAATGTGGAGGTGTGACCTGAGGTGTAAAAGCACTTTGAGTAGTCAAAAGACTAGAAAAGCACGAGACAAGCTCAAGTCCATTTTACTATTTACCATTTTGTATTATTATAATGTTTTTAATCTGACAGCCCCAAATCTACCTGTGCCACTTATATTCCAGGTTACAGTAATTCCACTATTTAAAGAGTATTACTTGCAGTTCTTTGCCTGATTATAATCTTAAATAACAGTGAATTCTGGTGGATTGTTTTTGTATTCTGGGCTGTCATGGCGGTCTACTACAGCTTGTTCCTCGTCATTTTAAGAAGGGATATTTATTATTTGAGGTTCTGTGTTTAATTTGCCTCTCCTTCTGTTTACAGATAGAACACGTATCAGGTCTAATAAAACTGTCAAAGGTCTGTATCTTTTCAGTAAAATGTCTAATCCTGAGATTTGTTTTTGTAAATGTTGAAATGTGTCTTATTCATTATCTTTATCTCTTTCAGGGAGATGTTGAGAGGAAATTATCACAGATGATTCTGGACAAAAAGTTTCACGGTAATGAGAAAACGTCTTGTTTCTTCAAAGTGAATATCAGACCAGATGTCTTCAGTGTACAGATTATATATATGTGTGTGTTTCTCTCTCGCTGTGCTGCAGGAATCCTCGACCAAGGAGAAGGCGTGTTGATCATATTTGAAGAACCCCCGGTGGACAAAACATACGGAGCAGCCTTGGAAACAATTCAGAACATGAGCAAAGTCGTGGATTCACTTTACAACAAAGCCAAGAAGCTGACATAGGTAAATAGAATTAAAAAAAAGAAGACATGGCTGCTTTGCTCTTGTTTTAATTCATCACTAAATGTCATCGTCTTTCATCCTCAGAGCAGATTACCACGGCTGTGCGATGGAGGAACTGTGTGTGTTTGACCAGCGTGTGTAACATTTTAAGAAGGGGATAAGGGAGAGCAACGAAGAGTCCCACAAACTGCAACAAACAGGATTCCCCCATCAAACTCCCCCCGTCTCCCCCAAATGGACAATGTCATCACTTCTTTTGTCTGTTCTTTTCACCCCCCCTCCCCTTCCCCTCTTTACTTTTGATATCTCTTCAGGATTCTGTATAACACTCAGCGGCCAAATCAGGCCATCAGGGAATATTGTACAACCACAATAAAAAAAAAAAAAAAAGATGAAAAGGTTTAAGAATACATATATGTTTATATCTGCTATAAGGTTGGGCTTTCTGAGCCTTAAAGCTGACTCCACTGCAACCTCACAGGTGCAACATTGACCTCTGCAGCCTCACGCTCTGCTACCACATGTGTACGCAGACACGAGGCTCTCCTCTTCTTCTTCTTCATGACTTTCAGAAGCACACTGTTATGTTTTTGGAAGGTTGGGATACTCCTTTTAGGATTCTGAATTTTTGTCAACGAGCTCCCTCTAGCTTTTTATTTGTCCCCCCCCCCTCCTCCTCACCATATCAATGCCAACAGTTAAGTACCCTCTGTATTTCAGATCTGTATTAAACTCACTTTATTTGTTTTTGGTTTTGTGTTTTTGTTTAAACAAAAAAAAAATAAGAAAGAATCAGATGGTTGCCACATGTCTGCCCGCCCCGCTTGTGTCGGTTCATGGAACAGACAGGTTTGCCATTTCACCACTAGTGCCACTTTTTCGGCGCTTCAGATTGCCTCACTGTTTGAGTGCAATATGAGATCTGAGGGTGGAGGTGGAGATGTTTTCATCATCGCCTCTGAGCGTCTGCGAGTTATCCCTGAGTGAGCATTTCTTCATTGTTAGTTCCTAGCACTAGTGTGGTATGCTAGCAACCAAACAATTTGTATGGTTTTGATTTGGTTTTTGATTATTTTATTTTTTTTCTGTTTGTTTTTTTCTCTTATAAAAGACATTTTCAAAATAAATATTTTGTATTTTAATGTTTTTTGTCTTGTCTCTTGCAACAACCACAAAAAAAAAAAATGCTCATGGTAATTTAACATGGTAACTGTGTCTGCGGCCACTCAGCTGTGATATTTAATGTACAGTTAAATGGTGAGACGACAGGGTTTAAATGTTGCAAAAGTGTCTTTGAAATACACTGGGACGGATGGGACCATGACCAAGAAAGTGTGTACATTAGTGGAAGTAGACTGGGTCAAAGATCACCACACTGGAAATATAAAAGTTGACGCCATAATCACTGAATTCCCCCAAGAGTATCTTCCTCCTGCTGGGGCTTTTTAGTCCTGTATTGTAGAGGCAAGGCAGTGTATAGAGTCAGAAACCAAGGAGAGAAAGAGAGAGGAGTGACATGCAGGAAAGGTGCAACAGGTCAGTTTCAAACCTGACCCGTCCCCTCTTGAGAACTAAGCCTCTGTACATAGGACCGGACTCTAACCATGAAGCTACTGTCACCCCAATGCTGACACTGATTAACAACAGATACAACCTCAAATCAAAGGGCATCCAATCAGTTTAAGGGACAGCTTTTCTTATCATTTTAAAATTGCCACAGAGAGCATTTTGTTTTTATTCCGCCCTCATCAAACTGGAGTTTTTTTTTCTACTCTTAAAACCACGAGAAGCGAGGTCACCTATATATGCATCTGAGTCTTCATAAACAGGATTTGCTCTACGACCTTCACATTATTCATCATGACAGATTTAAAAGTGTCTCCATACCAGGGTTTAAAAAAGTGTTTGTTTTCATCTCAAAACTTAAATTACCGGACAGAAAATCATGTCCATTCAACTTTAGCTGTTAAGAAAATAAATGAGAAAGAGCCTTAATGTTTAAAATATGTTTACAAAGATCTCAAACAATTATATTTCATTATTTTTAAACCAACACAATAGAATATAATATTCTTGTACACATTCTTGTGGCAAAACCTGTAAATAATTTAAAGATAAAGATAAACTTTATTGATCCTCCATGGGGGACATTTTTGTGTTACAACAGCTATAGAAAACAGGAAGCAGGAATATAATTATTAAAAATAACAAGAAGTTAAAAATCAAACATATTTACATCAGTTAAATAAAGGGTGAAAAAAATACAATAATACAATAAATACAATTTGCACTAATTCCATAAATCATTTATATATAATACTTAGTTACGAAGGCAAGATTAATGTAGGGATCTATTTCTATTTTAAAATGCTGTTTTCTTGGTTATTTCTTATTCCTAAGTGGTTTCCTTTCACTTTCCATCAGCAGCTCTCGCTAACTGTACACGTCGTGTACGTGATGACATCACACGCTCTTAGGTCCCGCCCCCTCCTCCGGGCACGTCTCTTTCTCATTTCTGCAGTTGTTCTGTCAGCGGGACCGTTCACGCTGAATTTCACTTGAACTGGAGTTAAAAACACACAAAGATGTCCGCTCGGGTGAGTTAAGCGAATACGTCAGGTCGAAGAACACGTTCACCACGAGCAAGAGTACACTAAATACTAAAACTAACGTCAACTTAAAGGATTATTATCTGTTTTCACACGTAAAGTAAAGAGAGCCAACACAGCAGTAGCCTGTGTGGCAGAATGAGATGTCATTCAAAACTTCGTAGGCAACCCGGAAGTGGAATGTGGTATCTCATGACCACTCTGACTGTTGTTAGCTCTTGTTCTGGATGTTAATTAGCTTTTACATGTTACAGCTTTTGGGGGTTTTTTTTGGTCGTAGAGTCGTTAAATTGTGTCGTCAAGCGTGTCATCGACTTCAAAATGAAATGTTGATGTAGCTCCGACTTTTAAAGGTCTAAATCAATGACGACTGTTCACAGGAAATGAAGCAACAAGAAGCGTTCAGATAAAGAACTGATGATGAGTGTTGTTTAGTTACAGCAGTGGGCATTTTAAAGGAGCTGCAGTGTAAACAAAGTGCCTGTGTGTGTGTGTGTGTGTGTGTGTGTCAGTGTTTTATCCAGCTGTTAAAGTAAAACACATTTCTACGGAAGGGGATTAGGGTCAGACACGAGAAATAAAAGAATGATACAAAGAAGATTTATTTTCTTCATGCACTTTGATAAAGAACAAGTATACATGTAGAGGGATGAAGTCAGAATATCAAGAAAAAGAGACAAAATATTTTTTTAAAGTTTGTATTTTTAATCACAATGTTAAAAGTTTAAAAGTCTAAAACAACCTTTTATTTAGATTTGTATTTTTTGGCTTTTGTGCCTTTATTTGAGAGATAGGGCAGAAATCAGGGCGAGAGAGAGAGAGTGGGGAATGACATGCGGGAAAGGAGCCACAGGTCGGATTTGAACCTGGGCCGCTTACAGCTTCCATACGTGGGGCGCGCGCACTAACCACTGCGCCACCAGCACCCCCCAAAATAACAACCTTTTTTTGATGTAGAGGACAAAAGTCTAAATATAAAAAGCAAAATCGAAATGTTGAGAATAATGTCAAATGTGGAAAGTAAAGTTGAAATGTGGAGAAAAAAAAAAAGAAATGAAAATGACAAAAAATGATGTTGAAAGTGACACGAGAAAAACAGATCACATGTCGGATTTGAACCCCGGGCTGCCTGCTTGGAGGACCACAGCCTCCGTATATGGGGGCACACTAACCACTAGGCTGCGACGCCATGACAACATAAAGACTTTCCTCCAAAATCTCTCTGAAACGATGTCAGCAGTAACTATAAACGATTTCAGTTCTGTTTTATTATTTCTAGCTTGCGGTTCCTAATTAACTCGTAACAGGATATGGAACACGTCTCATATGATTCATAGTCAAATGCTTATTCAATTAAGTCTTTTCCTCTCAGTATATTGTAAAAGGAGCATTTGGCCGTATTGTTTTTCAATCACTGTGAACTTTCCGCTCCTCATTTAAACTTCCTATGTGAGCTGATTACTCGGAAACAATGCGAGGAATGTTCCTTACTCAATCTATGGTACGCACACAGGTTTTCTGTGCTGATGGTCGTTTTTAATGGGTCACTAAATGTTTATTTTCATGACATCTAAAGAAGTAAAAAGCTACAGATGTAAAAGAATAATAACATCTGTCTTAGCAAACACGAGACAAATAGAAAGATTGTGAGGTCAGGAGTCATTTTGCCTCCTCTAGTTTTCTGTGTTTGTCCTGTTGTGTGTCGTCCTGTTTTCCCGCCCTCACTCTCACTGCAGCTCGTATCGTCTGTATCAACTGGATCAGAAATGTCTTCGTGACGTGGGTTGAGTCGGATTCTGTTCACAGTGAAACGTAAAAACATGAGATTATCTGACAGGACGAGTAAGACGCTCGATTCTGCAGAGCTTAAAAACGTTACGCCTGCAGTTGAACGACTATTTTTACTTTTGTCACTGACTTAAAACAGCTTGGTAAGACTGGACTTTTTGTATTGTTTTAAATGACTGACTTGACAGGAGGCATAAGAGGGTAGAGCTGGGAAATATATTGAGTTTTTAAGATATATTGATATATTTTCAAACAAGATATAGGGTAAGACAATATCGTTAATATGGATATAGTTTATGTTACATTAAATAACGTTCTCGAGGTGCCAGGTCACCTTTTCCTCATCTCACTGATGATGACTGACTGTCCCTCTTAACCCTGCTCCCCTCTCTCTCTCTCTCTTTTATTGTATTTAAGGAACATTTTTATTTATAATATTACTTTTTAAATTCACAAACACGTACTTTAATTTTTCCATGTGTTTTCACTGTTAATAAAATAACATTGATATATATCGAGTATCGCCATTCAGCTAAACAATATCAAGATATGAGTTTTGGTCCATATCGCCCGGCCCTATAAGAGGGTATTAGGTATTAGATTTTATCGCTGATCAGGATTGAAACTAGGGCTCGACCGATGTGGGATTTTTGGGGCCGATTCTGATTCCAGTATTGGGGAGAAAAGAAATCTGATACTGATATATCGACCGATATTTTTCTCTTATCTGTTTAACTGTAAAATCTGCAACTCATTACCCATATCATGCTCACACAGCATTCAAGCAGGGACACTAGCAGCTCGTATATAATGTTCCTGAAAGCTCTTGTGAAACGTCCAGCTTCCTCAAGTTCAAAGAAAAAAAAAGAAGCTTTTAGAGAACTTGAAAGCAGTTTCGGAGCAGAGCCCACATCATTCAGAAAGTGTCCACATGTAACTTCCTTTCATGGAGTCATCGTTTGTTTTTCCCCCCTCTGTGTCCCGTCAAGGTTATGCAAGCGGCTAAATGCCCAACAGACGAACTGTCGCTGACCAACTGTGCCGTCATCAACGAGAAGGAGCCGCAGCTCGAGCAGTGAGTAACCCTTACATCGTGCTGCAGCGGTGGTGTTATGTCAAAGAGTGTAGAGGTGTGGGATGTTTGATCAATGGAGAGGGGTTATGTGCGTCAACCTGCTGCGTGGGATTCACTTCTCTCAGCATGCATACATCACTGATTTACTTTTAGCTGCTCCAGTAACGGGGGAAGAACAGTTACATATCGTTTTTGTATGGAAGCCCTAATAAGCCGACATGCATTCATACATTTCTGCGTCATAATATTTTGCATATTCCTCATGTTTCATCCTC